TAATGTTAATAAAGAGGTTCACCTATGATTTGCTGAAAGTAGGTAATATCAATTAAACTTATTGTGGGTTTTGCCTCTAATTTCTAGAGATAAGACTTTCAAGAATGGTATTAGAAAATATAAAAACCTCATTTTTTATATTTTCTAAAATATTATATTAGTTTGCATACAAAGCTCATATACATTGTATTTCACACATGTCTTCATTCATATTGTGTTTTAAATAATCATTCCCATACATTGTGTTTTACAACATTAATCACCATTGATCTGTGCCTACTCTTACCCTATCTTTTCAGGTTCCCAATGGATCTTTTCTTATTTCTTCATGTCTTCCCTCTACCCACCAAACCCTGTGACTCCATCATCCTTCCCCATCCTCTTTCTCTCTTTGGACTTTTGTAAACATCTTACTAGTTATTCCTTTATTTTTACAATAATAGTCTTAAGAGAATTTGTCCTCATGGGACTGAGTTCACTCAGCATAATGCTTTCCAACTTCTCCCATATTATATGGTATTTTTCAAAATCATTGCTCCTGAGTGCTGCATAGTATTCCTTTGTGTGAATATAGCACAGTTTCTCAATCCATTTGTTTGTTGATGTTTATTTAGGCAGTTTTATTTTCTTGTTTTTGTGAGCCCTGCTATGAGCATTGGTGTACAAATCTCCATTTGTGTCTCAGCAGGATAGCTTCTTGCCATTAGATTACCAGAGCTCTCTTGTGTTCAACTTTTTGAGAAAATGCCAAACTGCTTTACAGAATGGTTGTACCATTTTGCAATCCTATTAGCAGTGTAGGAGAGTTCCAATCTTTACACATCCTGTTGAACATTTATTGCTTGGTTTCCTGTTAAAACTTTTGCCACCGGGGTAAGGTGATATCTCATTGTGGCTTTAATTTGTATCTTTCTTAATAGCAGTGGTTTTGAGCATTTCTTCATGTATCTGTTGGCCATGCAAGTATCCTATGTGAAAATTCTATTTTTTTTGCCCATTTTGTAACTGAAAACCCCATTATTATTTTTTTTTTTAAATTCTTATCTTTCAGTTAAGATATGTTTTGGGTTTTATTTGTTTTTTTTTTTTTTTAATTCTATGACTTTAGAAATGCATAGCACAACTTGTTCAAATGCTTTGTAATCTTATCCTAGAAGCACTATATATAGTTTAGGGAGCTATGGTGGCTTAGTGGGCAAGGAGTTATACTACCAAGCCAGAGGTAGGGTTCAAATCTACTAGCAGCTCTATGGAAAAGAGATGGATAGTCTTCTTCTATGTGATTTGTGGCCTCTGAAAAGTGACTGGAGGGTCAGCTATGAGTTGGTTATGACTTATGGCATGTAACAACAACAACATGTGTAGAGTTTCGGTATTTTAAAATGATAAATGTGTAATTCTCTTTTTAGATCCTATAGTAGTGGCCAGTGTTTTGAACTGACTTAGCTTATAATCTTTTTTAAGCTAAGTAGTTGATGATTCAGCTTGGCTTGCTCAGATTTCATTTTCTTTCTTTAGGGAAATCATACGAAGAAAAGCTGTTCTGGCATTATACAAATTCCATCTCATTGCTCCAAATCAAGTACAACATATTCATATTAAATTTCGGAAAGCGCTCTGTGACAGAGACGTTGGAGTCATGGCTGCCTCCTTGCACATATACCTGAGGATGATCAAGGTAAGTTGGAAATTCAGTAGGCCCTGAGGACTTACCATTAGAAAAACATAAACAAATTCATAGCTGACCCTCCAGAGAGTTTTCAGAGGCTGTAAATTGCATGGGAAGAGATGGATCTTCTTTTTCCTACAGAGCTACTTGTGGATTCAGATCTCCTGAGATGCCCTGCTTTTGAGTTAGCAGCGCATCTGCCTATGAACCAGAGCTCCCTAAGTTTGTTAGACCTCCGAACTCAACTTGCAATTGTCATATTTTTCTCCAATGTCTTATTTTCCCCTTGCTTTTATAAATTTTGGACCTGAATTTTGAAATTTGTTATTATTTTTGTTTGCTAAGAGCGTCTTTAAATTTTTATTACTGTTTATGTTCCTTTGTGCATATTAAACTTTTTAAAAAATAGAATCTTTTTCTCATTTCAGAAATAGTTTACTATTTTCCTGTGAGGATATTTAATGCAGATACATTAGAGTCTTCTATGTGAATTACCTTGACTTTTCTCTTTTCGGTTTATATTAGTCACTTTTTTTTTATTAGTCACTTTTTTAAAAAAAAATATTGAAGTGTTACCTTGACTCTGCCTTTGTGTTAAGAATGAGTCATTAGAAAACTGACAGGAAGATTTGTGTATGTGGGCAAGGGACAATAGATAGGTTGACTACTGTAGAGTGATTGGCAGACAGGTAAGTAGTCCTTGGTCATTGTATTGACATTTGGCTGTGGGTCCTTTCTCTGAGACCATTTTAAGAAAAATTTGCTCCAGATGAAGAAAATGTTAAAATTGTCAACAATTTCATCTTACTTGGATATACAGTCATTACCCTTGGTACCAGCAGTCAAGAAATAAATATATTGAACTGGGAAAGTCAGTTGTCAAGGACCTTTCCAGAGTACTAAGTAGAAGTGATGCCAGTTTAAAGACTAAAGTGCACCTGATTTTAGCCCATGGTTTTTCATTCACTTGCTCTGCATCTGAGAGTTAGAATAAGGATGACAGAAAAGGATTGATGCCTTCGAGTTATGGTGTTGAAGAAGAGTACAGAACATCCCATGGATTCCCAAAAGAGCACATTAGATATGTTTTGGAAAACAGTTCAGTCCAAGAACTTAGAGACAAGGATGACAAAGCTTCGTCTCATACTTGGGCATGTTGTTCAGAGGGTCCATTTCTTGGAGACGATATCATGCTTGGAAAGGTGGGGGGTCAGCAAAAAAGAGGTAAGCATTCATTCTTCAAGATGTTTTTCCTAGCTATTGCCTGTCTTTGCCATGTGGTTGGGCGGGAATAGGTGACTAGGACATGTTAGCTTATCCATAAGGAAATTGACTAGTCTCACCATTAAATAAAGCAGATCCAGCAGCAGAATTGAAGGATCTTCCCACCAGCAAAGAAAAAACAAGGAATGTAGCACTTCCTTTGGGGCTAGAGATTCTTGCACCAGCTGGAGTAGGGTCTGCAAGAGTAGCAGCCACAGGAGAACCAGAGCAGACCTTGGGACTGCTATACCATGAAATGAAAGCTAAGAGCTTTTTGCCTAAGTTTGTTAGAATACTGGGGTCAGAGAGCTGTAATTGGCAGAAGTGAGAACTTCGTGACACTGACCTAAAGCCATGTGGTTCAAGGCTGAGGCACCTGCAAGCTCATTTTGGAAATTGTCCTTACTGTATCCTGTTGCTAAACTGAACTTTAGCCTTTTGACTTTTGTAATACAATTCTGTGTGGTCTGTTAGTTATCACATCAGATTTTAGATCCAGCAAAGCTGTCACATTGGTATTGGGATGAGTAGAAAGAAGAGGTATGGCACCTTGGGGAACATGTCTGACCAGTTGGGAGTTGGTAGGTTGTTGACAGGACTGTTTGCCTTTGTGAGTTGATAAAGGTCAAATATGGCTATTCTTTCACAGCCCTTGCTCTTTTTACATTGAGAGAAGACCCTCAATGAGATGGATTGATAAAATGATGGTAGCAGTGGATTTGAGTATGTCAGAGATGATGAGGATGGCTCAGCACAGGACAAGGTTTAGATCTATTGTTCATAGGTTCACTTTGAGTTGTACTTGATGACACCTAACAACAACAGTTTCTTATTTAAGGAACTTTAAGCATGGCTACGTGGCTTCTGGAAACCCAGTTAGGGAAGGCCCTAGAAATCTCATCATGTAGGCTTTTTACAGAATCTTCCTGTTTGGGGCCATATAACTCTCCTGCTGCTCCCTGTGCTTTGAATTCTCATGCTTAGGTTCTTTAGTTCAGTTTCTCCAAGAAATGCTCCTCCCATATTTTGGGAGAAGTAGGTACTGGGAGAGGGAAAGGAGTCTTTTGCCTTTGTGCGACTTGATCTAGCTCCTCCATATATGTATTTTCAACCAATAGTCTCTCATTTTCTAGCCCCTTAGTTCATCATTTCCTTTGTAGTTATCTACTTCCTCCAAGTATTGAGCCTTAGTGTTTCTTTGAGGCAGTTAGCTCATCTCTGCATCAAGTTAAAGCCAAAACCCACATTTTAGCCTTCTTTATTTTGCTAATTAGTATTGCTTTTCCACTTCCTTGTTTTTTTCTTCAAGTCCATCAAACCTGCTACCATAAAGTTGATTGTGATTCATAGTACCCTAAGGACAGGGCAGAAGTGCCTCATACACTTTCCGAGACTGTACCATTATTGAAGCAAACTGTTAAATCTTTTTTTCCCAGGAATCAGCTGGTGGATTGGTACAGCTGACTAGCCAAGCACTGCACCCTCAGGGCTCCTTTCCCCCCTGCAAATAGATTGAAATCTTTTATTCACTGTTTTGTGTCTCTTATTTATTTTGTCCTCATGGTTTTGGTGTTGAAGGCTTTTCTTTAAATTTCATCAGCTTTTGTAGGGAGATACATTTTTCTTCTCAGTTAACTAGGTTTAACAGAAATAAAACAAAACAATGTGAAGTTTTGCCTTTTAAGTATATATATGCTTTGTTAGATAATTGATTTTACTATATGTAAAATTAATCCGTTTTAATCCTTTAAAACTTTTAAAACTTTAATCCTTTAAAGTTTAAACTTTAGTCATTTTAAAACTTTAATCCATGGCCCTCAGGCCTGTTTTTAATTGTTTTGGTCAAACATTCTTCTAGGTCATGTAGCCTTGGTCTGTCCACTTGCTGTACAGAGATAACTTGTGGTTGCTTTGAAGCTGAACACTGACACTGATGTGTCATATGCGAGAATGGGTACCCATGGTGGACAGTGTTTGGTGGAGCTCCCTGGTTAAAACAAGCTTGGAAGCAGGAGACGCATCCACTTCTGAAATAGCTTGCCTCCAGAAACCCTACGAACCTGGAGAAAGGATGAAAGTTATCCAAGTGTTTAGGTCTTGCGTTCATAGGGTCACTACTTAACAACAACATAGTAATCTTAAGAATTGATATTTTGATTCGGTATAAATTTATTTAACCCTCTAAGGTAATGGGCATAGGTGTGTCAGAGACAATGAGATTGGCACAGGATAGGGCAAGGGTTTAGGGCTGCTGTGAGTTGCAGGCGACATAATAACAACAAGATTAATTAGCATTTCGCTATTACAGACCTGTTTTTTATGTGCATCTAAGTGCATATGTATGCATGGAATTTTTATATATATATGAAGGCTGTCAATGAGAAGGATTAGCAGAGAGACTGTTCACAGTGGGCTTGAGCATATTAGAGATTTTAAAGATGATGTAGGATAGGGCAAGGTTCAACTGTTGTGTATTGGATCACTATGAGTCATAGTCTTTTTTTTTTTTTTTACATTAACTCTGAACCCTGTCTTTTTTTTTAAAAAAAAATTATTATTAAATTTTATTAGTTTTAATGAACATTTACAGAGATTTTGGGTTTTCATTCATTCATTGTTGCACTGTTTTCTCTACCCTCCTCCCCAGTTCGTTCTTCTTCCCCCCCCATGAATGTCTGTTTTAATTGTCCAATTGCCACAGTGCTTGTCAAAGCCAGTTCTGATTAATCTCCTTTGTCAGTGTGTCCTTTGTCATTCCCTATCACTCCTCCCTGAGAGAGACTTCACCCTGATTCATAAGGAAAAGGGGATGGCGTATTCTCTTAGCTACTTCCTGCTGAAAAGGGACGCTGTGAGTTTCAGGGTGAAGATCTTCTCTCACTACTCTAAAGGGCCCCTTTGGCAGTAGGAAACACATAGACTATTATGGAGATTGATTTTGGAATTTAGATGCACTGTTACCAGTTGTGCTTAGCCGTACATGTTCATTCCTTGAAGATGTATCATGGAAGTGTTGCAGCCTAGAAGACACAAATTTAACTAACAAGTTAAAAGTACATGAGTCAAAAATTAACAAGCAATAATATTCCGAGTAGAGGTTCTAATAGTGGCACAAATCAAGTTACAGAGGGAAGGTGGTTCTTACAATAAAAGGCCTATAGACTAGCACTTTATTATACTGTAGAGGTTAGGAACCACAAGATGTAAAGGCTCAGCTATGTCTTCTATGGTTCTTAAGTCCTGGAGCAAATTCCATCTACCACTGGGTTGTTTTACAACTCGGAAATTTGCATGCAAGGTAGAGGTGAAGTAAGGAACTGCTTAGAGTCATAGTCATCTTGATGGCCCCTAACCATAGCAGCAGTACATAAAACACTTAGTTTTCTGTTATAGAGCTCCACAGAAATCATCTTTATGTATATTTCATTGTTCCCTTTACATACATTCTTATGGAATAAATTTTTAAAGCTGAATTGCTACATTAAAAAAAAAGTACTTGTTGATTGCCTTCAAGTCGAGGTTGACTCATACTGACTCTATGAGCAAAAGACCTAATGCCTTTCCATAGCTCTTGTTTCTCCAAGTTCATAGAGTTTCCAGAGGCATGTGGTTTAGGAAGTGGATGCCACTCCTGCTTCCCAACCTGTTTTACAGCTGAGAGCTCCACCAAACACTGTCCACAATGGGAAACCATTATGGTATTTGATATCACCATGGCATAAGGTTCCACATCATAGCAAACCAAGTTACCTCATAGAGCACATTGACAAAGAGTGATGTGCAAAATGGAAGAATGTTCCTCCATATATAACATCATTAGTCTCATTTAGCAGTGATTAATTGTTGTCGAATCGAATATGACTCATAGTAAGCTTTGTACAAAAGACCTGAACTCTGTTCTATAATTAACATCATTTCTGTACATTTATAAGAGAGTCTGTAGAATTTCCAGAGGCATCTAGCTTAGGAAATGAATGCCACTCCTGCTTCCCAACATGAATCAATCTGGAAGCTCATCCAACTATTCTATATAATGGGTAACCATTATGATATTTTAATACAACTATGGAACAGTGTTCAGCATCACAGTCACTCCCAAGATGTTTAGTACAGCAAATAGACAAATGATTGCTGTGTCCTTTTAAAATATTCTTCTAAAATTAATAAACTTAGAGGATTTTAAAGCCACACCCTTGAGCAGGGCTCAGCCCTTACCTTTGGTCTAAGGCTCAAGGACCACCCATTTTAGAGGGGGAAAAAGAATTGTAGCACACAACAAAAAGAACGCCAGAAACTTCCCTTGCCTGACTGCCATCAAGATAAGCCATTATTGAGATGCCAGTCAGTGAGCCAGCCAGAGTTATGTATAGGTAAATTCTCATAGTTAACTACAAAGATTTTGTCAGTATGTTTGTAACACTAGTTAATCTTTTTCTGTCGACCTGGCTAGAATATTACTATCCTTGTATAAGCAACAGATGCAATGTATTGGTGGCTGAGTCTGACTTCTCCTTCTTCATAAAGGGAAACTGTCCTTATCAGTAACATCTGTATTACCAAACAGATAAATACATGGTCAGGCTTGCTACCCTCCCATATTCCTGCTTCTATTCTATGAATAGAATGTCTAATGTTTGTTGCAGGATGACTCACAGACTTTACACACAGTTGTAGGGTTTATTAGGAAGATAACTTGGGGAGTTGGGGAAACAAAGAATTGTTGTTGTTGTTTTGTGCCGTCGAGTCGCTTGCGACTCATAG